CGATCCGAGTGAGCCGTACTCAATCCAAGCTAGCGTAATTCGAAAGAATATGTCTAGTAAATTGTGGTAGTTACGCGGGAGAGAATTACAACACTCAGAGCGCTCATGATCGGTAGAGAAGACTTAGGCAAATTTATAGAAAGCGTAGCAGAAAGGATTACGACAATAGGGGAAATCATAACCTCAAATCATTTCAATTCTTGTCTACCACCCATTCGTAGTTAGTTATTAATTATTGCATTTTCATTACGTGATATTTAGTTAGTAAACATCAAATTTGCTACTTAAATATTTCTGAAGATTGATTGCATAAATTTGTGTGAGTCTAGTAGTTGTATTTAATAGGTTAATTCCCTGTAGGATTCGACTCCGAACTTATTAACCGGAATATATTTGCAACGACCGCTTAGTCCTTTTTATAAGGCATAGTTGCACGTGATCAAACAATCGCATCTTTTATAGGAGTAACTGGCTTATTCTTTTCCTACATGGATACGTACAATAATTTGAATTTTATGCAAATGGAAGAAGATTAAATAAGGAAGCATATTGTTGTCAAAAAGGAATATGCTAGCAAAACAAAAAGTTGGCGGTGAGGAGTAGACTCCAAAAATCCAAATCGGTAATATATTGTCCAACAAAAAGTAGGATAGCAAGATGCGACGAAGAAAAAGAATTTGACCAAAGTCAGGCTATGTAGCGTTGGTGTATGCGCAGTTTAAATGGAAAGAAAAACCAGTCTCGGTAATTTATAATTATATTCTTAAATTTTACAAATAATTAAGGTTATAAAAGTCGATCAATATTTCAAGGTTATTTTAGTCGTTGAACATTTAGCATAAATTATTCGTGCTTTTATAATAACTAGTCTCTATAAACGTGCATTATATGTTTTTTTTTATCAATGTAAATCATCGCAAAAATTGTTAGGTATTATTAATTCTAATTGCATTAACTTAATAGCAACACTGCGTAAAATATTAACATTAAATAAAACAAACAAGTTTACCAGTGATGCCTCATGTTCCCAACATATTGTCTAGGCTATTCAAGACGTATGATCTATATTTTAAAAAATAAGGTAATTGTTATAATAAAATATAGAGCAATATATATTACCGTTCCCAAATAATAGCCTATAAATATAATCTTTTTTGTATATATATATATATATATATATATATATATATATATATAATATCATATTTTATACATTTTTTGGCTAGCGAATGTAGTTAGTTTCAGTAGACCAACCAATTTTTTATTTTACCCTATAATGTAGGCTACTTCTCGATTTGCATTTCAACATCTACAGCAGGTGAGTAATTAATTCCATCTCCCACATTTGTAACAAAATTTTCAAAACTTAAGAAGAATTTAATACTAACATAATAGAAGAAAATAATTTGGAAATCAGCATATATAGAAAGCTATAACTAATCAATCTTATGCAAATCTATGTTGTGTTCAAAAATTTATAAAACACCAAACAATTAAAATAAATAGCGCTTGTTCCATACTTTGGAGTTTGGACCAACATACAAAAAATAGTTCTAGATGACTTCTACTTATAATACGCAGGTTGAACCATTAATAACTAATCAAATAGTTTTATTTATATTATATTGTTATTTAATGTGAATTTGTTGTGTTCTATATAAATTCTAGTTAGCTTACAATTAGTCTTTAATTCTTTATATACGTACCAATCAATAATCACTTAGCTCTCTATTGTTCAACCTCTGTAAATTCCTAAAATTATACATACAGATCCTCTTCCTTTTGTAGAACTTTTCTTTTATAATGTGCTTTTTTAACTCAAGTTCGATTCTTATTAGTACATGATTAGGCACAGAACAGTATGAAACTTTCCTAGTTACTTCTAACATAACCCTAGCATCAATTATCAATTAACAAAACACGGTAGCAAATATTTTATATTCCATAATAGAATCCCAATTGATCCCAATCACATTGCAACTGAAACTCCCTTTTTCCATACAACACTCCATTAATTATATCAATCTCTAGATTTTCTATTATCATAAATATGTCATTCTATATAATTCTGGTCTGAAATAATTCTAGTATAATACAAAATTTAACTAAATTTTTTAATTATACAAATAGAATAATAATACAATGTATATGTGTAAATATTTATTTATGCATTTTATTTATAAAATATTCCTAGTATATTTACAGAATGGGTAAAACATACATAAGATATATATATCAATATACATGAAATATTTATTAAATAATTTTAGTATATTTCAAATTTAATTAGAAAATTAAATTATACAAAAACTATAATAATTGTATAATGCATTTGCCTTATTCAAAGGTCACGTGCAATAAGCTACAAAACTTGACCTTTATGTAGAAATAGGATTGCTCATTTACTATTCAATTAAGGATTTTTTACCTTCCTATACCACATATGAAACCTTATTACCCTCAATGTTTAAGGTTTGAGTTAACTACATTTCAGTATACCAAATTACCATTTATATACCATAATTCAAATCAGGGATACAATTTAGGGTGTATTTATATTAGGCATAATTATAGGACCCCTGATTCTAAAGACCAAAAAATTAGGCAAATTGCTATTCACACACCCCACCCCTATTTCTAAAGACCGAAAAATCGGACATTTGAAAACCCTAGACCTAAAGAGTGACCTGTTTCAATTTCTTTGCAATTGACAGACAGAGGAGTATTTTATTTGTATCCAATTTCAATGGCAACACTATATGTCCACGGTGGCAGTGCTAAGAAGCATTTGTGGTATTGTATTGATACAGAAAAATTAAATTGCATTTCAGATGGACTTTCTCCGGTTGCTCAAATGGAGTTGGAAGCCGGAGGAGGCATATTTCCAGTTGGAAACTCGAAGAAGAAGAAGAAGAAGACGACATATTTTCAGAATTTGTAGATAAATTGTAGAAAAATTAGAAAAATTGTAGATAAATTGTAGACTGTTTTTTGCAGAAAATTTTGTAGAAGCTTTAGTCGTTTTGGATTTGTGAAAACAGAAAATAATGCATCTACAATCAGAATACAAATAATCTACAATTTATCTACAAGAAATCTACAAACTGGATACATTGAATTTTAATATCCCAATTCTCATTTCAATTGTAGCATAATTGGCATTTTCGATATAATTGTAGAAGATTTGTAGAAGTTTTAGTCTTCCCAATCTACAATTTATCTACAATTCTACAATATTATCTACAATTTATCTACAATTTCTGGAAATATGTCTTCTTCTTCTTCTTCTTCGAGTTTCAATCTGAAATTCAGTCAAAACCAAGTCTAATCTTCACCAAAACCCCTTAAAATTGAGATATAAACTCCTAAACATATTCCAAATTATTTACAACAACACCCAATCCAAACAAATAATGATTTTTGAAAATTAAAATTTGAATTGAAAGCTTTCAAGCTTTTTAATGGCTATCAATGGTGGAAAATATATGGAAGAACAAATTTTTTCAACTTTGAGTTGTTGAAACTCGAAAATTTGAATTGTTCGTTCTTTTTTTTCCGAGAATTTGAATTGTAGTTCTGGAGAAAAATACGCAGATGGGAAATCTCCCTTTCCTTTTTAAAAATTGAATTTAATGTAGAATCAATTAACACCAAGATTCTCTCCTTAATTTTAGCGTGTTTTTTAGGGAATATTCTGCCCTTTAATCCCTAATAGTCGAATGGTATATAAATTGTAGTTAAAGTGTGGACTGAGCAGGTAATTAACAAACTATGCACATTTAGGGTAATAAGGTTTCATATATGGTATAGTTAGGAAAAAATCCCTTCAATTAATTAATTTTATGAAAGAGAAAGAAAATAAGAAGAGAAGAAAAAAGATTATTTTTCAATGTTACAACCGAAGGGGGCCCCACTTGATCTGTAAGTGGCATTTTTAAAGTGCTGCAGTGACACGTGGCATGGAAAGTTGAGGTGGACCCCATAATTCTAGAAAACTTATCAAATGTGTACACTAACAAATACAATACCTTGAAAGCATATAAACTATGAAATTCCAGAAATATCCCCATGCCAGACATGTTGACCATGAGATGCCTGGTTATCCCCACTTATAGTATAGGAATAGAAATAGAAATAATAAGCGGATAAGGTCTAATAATATCATTAAACTATTGGATATAGCTCAATTTTGTCCTCCGTTAGTAAATTGGGCCAGTAATATCACCCACTTTAGCAAATTGGGCCAATATGCCTTCAACCTAACAGCTAAACACATAAGCCTTCTCATCAGCATTATTTAGCTGACATGGCATCCACATAAGCTAACATGGCATCCACATAAGCGGATCCTCATAAACCTGCTTGGATATCCAAATAAGCGGACCTAAAAACGCAAAGAGTTAGTAACCACAACCATTAAACCTAGTTCTTCCATTAACAGAGACGATTTGAGACTTAAGAGGATGATACGATCGAGCAAGGCTTAACAACACAAATTGAAGATCATCTGAAGATATTTAGGTAATTTCTCCTTCCATTTATTGGGTCTCTATCTCGAACAAAGGGATTAATCATTTCTTTTTGTAATTTTCTAGGGTTTTGTCATGTTTTGGTATTTCTGATCCTGTAGCATAGTGTATAGTGTTTGCATGTGGGTCTGGTACTCTTTTTGTTTGTTATCTTTGTTGTTTTCTTATGTGGTGTCAATTTGTGCCCTAAGTCTACATCGTCTTTGGCTGCAAGTGTCCTTTTAACATATTTTATCATAGTGTGGAAGGGTTGGGTGTGCATTTCTTCTTAAAGACAGTATTTTTTGCTTTCGACTGTGGTTTGAAATCGACAAAACATGTGCTATATCTCTTAAAGTGTGTGCTTTATCCTTTCCACTATATTATATGCAGTAATATATTGTATGTTCAATATTTTATTGTCAAAGTTGTTAAATTATTCACGTGGTCCCTCTATGTTTTCTTCTGTGTCTATATTATAGATATTTCAATATGGGGGACCACGAAGAGCCAGTTTCAGGTTAATATCAGTGTGAATTAGGTACTGATTGTGAATCTGATAGTGATAAAAGTTCAGATTATGGTTCAGATGTTAGTGAATATGATTTTCAAGAATTAGAGTTACTTGGGTTGCAAAAGGGTAAAGAAGTTAATGATAAGCTTACTCACTACAAAGAGCTTGATAAGTCTATGACATTTAAGGACTTGGATGAGGCCAAAAAAATCATGAACTTCTTTGCTATTGCAAATTCCAAACCTTTGACACTTAGAAAAGATGATAAAACAAGAGTAAGGTATAGATGTTTAGTAGGCTGCCCTTTTGTATGCCTCATCTCTGAAGATAAGAAGGGTCCTGGCTTTAAGATAAAAATATTGAAGACAAAGCACAACTATGAAGATGCATTTGAGAATCCTAGAGCCAAAACAAAAACTTTAGCTGAATATTTCAGGAGTAAGGTGCAGAATAACCCCAAGTACAAGATAAAGGATATGAAACTAGATTTGAAAAATCAATTTTCATTGAATGTACATAACTCCATATTGAAAAAGGCTAAGAGGATGGCACTTCAGCAATTGCAAGGAAGCTTTTTAGATGACTATAACAGATTAGAAGCATATGCAAATGTGATTAGGGAGAGCAATCCTAGTAGTGATGTGGTTATCAATTTATCAAAAGATGCCATGGCTGAAGGTAAAAGAAGATTTCTTAGAATGTACATATGCTTCAATGCAATGAAGTTGGGGTTCAAACAAGGGTTGAGACCATTCATTAGACTAGATGGGACTTTCTTAAAGGGTCATTGCAAGGGGCAACTATTGGTGGTTGTTGCACAAGATTGCATGAATCATTTCTATCCCTTGGCCTGGGCTGTAGTTGACAAGGAAAACACCTTGACATGGACATGGTTTCTGGAGCTACTGAAACACTCACTGAATCTGAAAGATGGAACCAATATTACCTTTATGTCTGATATATAAAAGGTACAACTTATGATTTTGTTTAACTGACTATTCTAGTTATTTTTAAATTATTATATAGTTAATTCTGTTTAAATTTACATGCTCAGGGCCTGCTGGAAACAGTAAGAACTGTCCTCCCTCTCTCAAATCATAGGTTTTGTGTGAGGCATATTGAAGCCACTAGAGTAAGAGGATCAAAATTCAAGGAGAGATGAAGAAATACCTATGGTGGTCTGCTTAGAGCCTTATGAGGAGGACTTTAAAGATCAACTAAAGAATCTTGGTGAATTGTCTGTTGATGCTTCCAAGGAGTTCCTTAGGTATCCACCACAGAATTGGTGTAGGTCATACCTTGATACATTGTGCAAAAATCAGATGGTGGACAATAATTACAGAGTCCGTCAACTCTTGGATCTTAGAAGCAAGAGGCAAGCCTATCCTAAATATGCTTGAGGATATTAGAATCAAGGTCATGAACAGGTTGAGAGAGAAGGAAGAAGAAGCTAGAACATGGGGAGGTGAGTTTAGTCCTAACTGCATGAAGTTGTATGTTGTTTATTTGAAGGTAGCCAACTTATGTACTGTTCATTTCAATGGTGATACTGGCTATGAGGTTTCTGAGGGTGATGATAGACATAGAGTGAACCTAGTGGAGAAGAAATGCACTTGCAGATCCTGGCAGTTGACTAACATCCCATGCCCTCATGCCATCAGGGCACTAAAATACAAGAGAGAGGATCCAATGGCTGACATTAGTTGGTAGCACAGCAAGGAAGCTTACCTGATGACATATAGGGCCAAGTTGATGCCTGTTAGAGGTGAAAAGTTCTGGAAAGTATTACCAGAACATGCTATGGAACCTCCTCCACTTGCCAAAACTGTTGGAAGGCCAAAAGTCAAAAGAAATAGGGAGAAGGATGAGGCTAACAAGAGACAAGGAGATAGGGCTGCATCAAGAAGGGGAACTAGAATGACATGCAGCATTTGTGGTGAACTGGTCCACAATTCAAGGACATGCAAGGTACTTGCTTCTTAACTTATCTTTCTTCCTATATAATTGCAGTTATTTAATAGAAAGTTTTTCTTTTTAATAGGTTGGTGCAAAAGAAAATGTTGAGGATGTTAGTTGTTCAGCCCCTAAACCAACATAAGAAGGTGAACATGAAAGTGAATTTGTGTTCATGCCTATACCTAGAGTACCAAGACACCAAACAAAACCCTTTGATGATGGTAGTGAGCATGAAAGTTGTCACGGCCCAAAATCCACTAAGGGTCGTGATGGCGCCGGACACTGCTGTCAGACAAGCCAACCAAATCACTTAATCAAATTCTCGTTTTAATACTTTTGAAATCTAGGATTTTCCTTCAAATTTAGCAATTTAAAAGATGATTGTCTCAAATCAAATTTAAATGATAAGCAGTTAATACAAAATACTTCAAACCATCCCAGAACCTGGTGTCACAAGTGCATGAGCAATTTCTAAGAAAAATCAAATAAAGTACAACAACTGTCCGAAACACAATATTGGACAGAAAATAAGTACAGATAATTGAAAGAGACTCTGCTGACTGCGGGTCGCCTCGAGAAGTGCAGCTCACCTAAGTCTCTGTATCCACCATGCTGCTACACCCAGTAGGCCACTAGAGTTACATATACCTGTGCAACAAAAATGCACAGAAGTGTAGTATGAGTACGAAAACAACGTGTACTCGATGAGTATCCCGTCTAATCTCGAAGAAGTAGAGACGAGATGGTCAACTTCGACACTTACTAGTGGTCCAATAATAATATGGTGAAGATGTGAGGAAAACATGGATTTATCTAGCAATTATAACTCATAGAGCAAGAAAACAGGTAACACCTTCTCAAATAATAAGGAAATTCCAAGATTTACTTTTCGTTATCTTTATTAGTTTATAGCGGCCATAAAAAGGCAATATCAACTTCAATAAGTTTCAGGATAAGCAATGCAAGCATGCAAATATGCCGAGGCAACGGCCCGATCCAACAGAAATAAACTGTGCACTTGCCGAGGGTCGACGGCGCTCCTATAGATGCATCTATTTAATCTGCCGAGGCGTTCGGCCCGTCCCATAAATAAACACACATACACTCAATCAAGAAGTCCACACGGAGTAATTATCCAATGAAAACAAATCCTCTTTTAACCATTTAAGAAAAATGAAGTTTTATCTATTTAGAAATTCGTTTACTAATTCGATGTGATTTAAGCAATTCAAGCTATCAATAGGTTCGTAAATAATCCAAGTATAGCATGCTTTTGGGTCCTAACTACCCGGACAATAGCACAATAGTAGCTATGCACGGACTCTCGTCACCTCGTGTGTACGTAGCCCCCACAAATAGGAGCACATAATCAATTATTTCACCTATGGGGACAATTCCCTCTTATAAGGTTAGAAAGGAGACTCACCTCGCTCCGAAGATCCGTAACCAGCATTCCACGCCCTTCTGAAGACTCGAATCGACACACAACGCTCCAAAATTAGCCAATGATTATACAAATCCATTAATATATGCTAAGGTACTCATTATAATTCAATTTATAACAATTCCTAACCCCGATCGAAAAGTTGACAAAAATGCCCTCGGGCCCACGTGCCCGGAATCCGAAGTTTTTCGAAGATAAAGTTTACCCATAGCCTCACGAACTCAAATATATGATTTTCTCTAAATTCCATATGCAAAATCGTGGTCAAAATCCAAGAATACTAGTTTTCTAGGTTTTTTTCCTCAAACCCCAAGTTTTCTACAATTTCCATGTTTAAATCCATATATAAACCTTGCATTTAACTCAAAACTGGCATAAATTACTTACGTCATGATGAATGACGGAACCCCCTCTTCAAAAGCTCCAAAAATCGCCCAAGCCAAGAGAAAAATGGGTGAAATGAACTCAACCCCGATTTTTAAACATTCTGCCCAACCCAGGTCTGCCCTTCTTCGCGTTCGCGACATTCCGCTCGCGTTCGCGAAGGCCAGTCACCCAGCCCTTCGCGTACAAGGTCTCGCGTTCGCGTAGGCCAAAGACCCCAGACCCAGTTTGTTTTTTCCTTCTACGCGTTCGCGATCTCCTCATCGCGTTCGCGTAGCAGCTCAGCCCACCCCTTCACGTTCGCGACTCCCCCTTCGCAATTGCGAAGGCCAAAACCAGCAGCCTCCCACTTTCCTCTTCGCGTTCGCGAGACTCCCTCCGCATTCGCGAAGAAGGAAACCAGATACCAGCAACCAGCAGCAGCTTTTTACCCAAATTCAATCCGTTAACCACCCGGAATCCACCCGAGGCCCCTGGGACCCCAACCAATCATACCAACTAGTCCCAAAACACATTACGGACTTGCTCGAGGCCTCAAATCACATCAAACAACGCTAGAATCATGAATCGACCTCCAATCCAAGCTTTATGAACTTTAGAACTTCAAACTTCTGCTTTCGACGTTTAAACCTATCAAATCACGTCCGATTGACTTCAAATTTTGCACACAAGTCATATTCGACATTACGGACCTATTGCAACTTCCGAAATCGGATTCCGACCTCGATATCAAAAAGTCCACTTCCGGTCAAACTTCTCAAAAACCTTCAAATTTATATCTTTAGCCAAATGACTCCAAAATGACCTACGGACCACCGAATTCACTTCCGATCGTGCTCCCAACTTCAGAATCACCATACGGAGCTATTCACAGACTCGGAATCCCGAACCGGGCATACGCCCAAGTCCGAAATCATCATACAAACCTGCTGGAACTTTTAGATCCCGATTCCGAGGTCGTTTACTCGAAAATCCAATCCTAGTTAATTCTTTCAACTTTAAGCTTCCGAAATGAGCATTCTCTTCCCAAATCAACTCCAAACTTCCCGAAATTCAATTCCGACCACGCGTACAAGTCATAACACCTGAAATGAAGCTTCTCATGGCCTCTGACTGCTGGACGACACGCTAGAGCTCAAAACGACCGGTTGGGTCGTTACATTCTCTCCCACTTAAACATACGTTCGTCCTCGAACGTGCTGAGAACTACACTGAAGTAGTCTGAAATCACTGTTTAACTTCTCATGCACCTCCCCGTGCTACCACAACTTAGTTGAGCACATTAGCTCGATAATTCTGAAGATATTCCCTTTTATTCAAGCAAATAAGCCTTAGAGCCCAATTCCAACATCCAAAATTCTATGCCCGACCTGCTTCCAACATACGATCACCACGTCAATCACTACACGCTGTACCCAAACATGACTGCATAACTTTGCTGAATTCACACCTTGCATCACTTTACTCACCGGACCACAATAACATTTTCTGATCAACTTAGTCGAAATTCCTCGAACCTAATGCTCCCATTGCACCCCATGACATACACATGTCTTACTCTAACTCTTACAATACCGCCACGACCGAAGAGATGTGCAGAAATTCATAATCAACTGCCGAGTCAACCAATCATTGAGTCTATACTTCTGACAAGAAACATTACCACATTCTGAACCAAATAATGATCTTTTCTCCTTAATATATTTCACGTAATCAGATTGCACTGATCCTAAATCCAACAATCTCGTCTCACCCAGTACGAACTGCTCAGGCAATAAGCCATCCCGACATGACCAAAAGTCTCATATGATGCCATAATGTGCCAATAGGCTACCAATTAGAATGCGATACAAAAAGGAAAATGAACTCTGAAAAGGAATTTCAATTACCCCGCCCGCGAATCATACATGCGACGTGGGCGCACAACTAATATGAGCTTTCCTCGAAAAATAGGAAACAGATCACATAAAAACAAATATGAGGAACTGTACCGAACATCACACTGTTGCGGCGCGCAACCCGATCCAAACAACATACCCATGGCGGCGTGCCACCCGATCCACACATCGAACTCACATAAGGAGATATACGTCGAGCTAAATTGCTCGCTAAAACGAAATACCAAATATCGGTCAGAAACACGCTAGGTGCATAATACCATCCCTGAGGGAACAGATAGCG